GCCGGCCGGCGGGCGGGGCCTCCGAGGGCGGGGCTGGGCGCCTGTGTTTGTTGCACCGTGTCAGTTACATTGTAACAAAAGTGCTGCCGCTCCTCCAGCTCGCACTCAGGCCCGCCCGCCACCAGCTGTCGCCGACATGGAATCCGTGGCCAGCAACATCCAGGTCCTGCTGCAGGCGGCCGAGTTCCTGGAACGCCGCGAGAGAGGTGAGGCGGAACCCTTGGTTGGACCCCAGGCGGCGACCTTGCTGACACGGGCCTGGGTTAGACTTGGCTCCCAACTTGGAGGATGCATACCTGGCTTTAATGCAGTAGTCCCGGGGCACCCCCATCTTAAAATGGAGAGGAGTCCTCGGTCGGTCGGGCTGGCGGGTGTTGGGGATATGGTCCTGGCGCCCAAAGCCCTCGCTGACCGTGCCATGCTAGGGGCGCCCGCTGGGACCAGCTCCAGCCTGACGCCGACGCGGGCTCTCTCTGGCAGAGGCTGAGCACGGATACGCGTCCCTGTTCCCGCACCGAAGTCCAGGCCCCGTCCACAGAAAGAGGAAGGGATCCCCCCAAGCTCTTGGCGCGTTGGACAGTGGGCGGTGAGGAGGGCGAGGGGCGACGGGGAGGGGGGATGGGCGCTGTCCCTCCTCGGGCCCTTCCTCAGCCCACTTCCTCCTTGTTGCTTGCGCCTTCTGGGCCAGGTATCTATTCTGGAGACATTCAAACTCCTCCCCTTCCACCAAACACACCCCTCTATTCATTCAAAGACTATTTCTTGAGCTCCCCTGATGTGAACAAGGCAGTTCTGAGTCCGGCTTCCACTCACACTCCTATACTCCACCTATCACATCACTCACTTTCCCCCCTAGGCTTCCTCCTTTTCTCTCTTCATCTCCGCCCTTTACACAAGCTGTTTCCTCCAATTTGAGTGTCTTTCTCCACTACCTGCTTTGGGTAACCTGTGTTTCTGGCTCAGCTCAACTGTCACCTCTGTTTGCACTCCACAGCTACCTGGCAGGCCTCTTTCAGCATTTGCCCCCCAGCCCCACCCCCTACCAGCTCCCCATGAGTCTCTGCCTCCACTTGGCAACTCAGGTGCCTGAGGCCAGCACAAGGTTGCCATACTGCGCTAGATTGGGGCAGAGATCTGCAGTGGATTTCGAGCCTCTGGGAACCTGGGACTGAGGGTGTGGGCAGCAACTGATGGCCCCTCACCCCATCCTCTCTGGCATTGGCAGGTCTGTGCACAACGAGCTGGAGAAGCGCAGGTGAGTCCCAGCCATGCCCTGACAGCATTGGGCCTCAGGGACTGTCTTCCTCTGGCCTTCCCTCCCCTGTCAGCCCTCTAGCTAGCAAGGCTGGGCTGGCACTGCCCTCCAGACCCCTTCCCCTGCAGGAGGGCCCAGCTGAAGCAGTGCCTGGAGCAGCTGAAGCAGCAGATGCCCCTGGGGGCTGACTGTGCCCGATACACCACACTGAGCCTTCTGCGCCGGGCCAGGATGCACATCCAGGTAGGGAGCTACCTCTGCACCCAGGAGCCAGGTTACCAGGACATGTGGAGAGGTGAAGCAGGGAAGGGCTCGGGGAGAGGGGCCCATTGTGCTTAATTTTGTTAAATGGGAAGAAGAGCAAAAAATAGCTCAGGATTTATTGGGCAAATGATGTTAAGCTTCATTTGCCCAATAAATGTTCACTGTTGTTGTTACAGCTATTACTACTTCTATTTCAACTGTGAGGCTCTGGGCCAGGCACTTAACCTCTCTGGATTTCCTTTTCTCCTCTGTATGGGGAGGCATGCCTGTTGAAGATAACGTGATGGGTCATGTGTAAGGGTCCCTTAGACTGTAGAGGACTGGTCCTCGCTCTTCCTCTCCCCATCCTTCAAGGTCTCCTGTTCTGGGCAGTCTGTCCTGAAGCCACTTTGGGAGGTAGCTCCAGAGGCCAGGAAGCCTAAAGGACTGGGGATGGCAGTCACCATTTTCCTGGGGCTCTTGCTGCTGCCCCCTGGCGGACATGAATAGTGTGTGCAGACTCAAAGCCCCAGGCAGCCCCAGAGGGGGGATTTGGAGGGGCCTTGGAAATAGAAGAGGCCTTTCTTGCCCTCTCGGTTCTTCAGACAGAGGAAGAAATGGAGGGACAGATTCAGAACCCAGGCCCAGATCCCCTGACTTGCATTCTTTCCTTCAAGAAGTACTGAGCACCTGCTCTGCTAGGCCATTCTAGGTATCTGGGCTGTGACAGACAGATGGATATGCCATTTAGTAAATAAATCATGTGGGAACTGTCGCACTGTCCCATAGGTGCCTGCATTCCCCTCATGGTGCCTGAGTAACACCCTAGCTCAGTGGTCGCGAGCCTCATACAGCTCTTTGGTCCCTTGAGTGTGGCTCTTCCACAAAATACCACGTGTGGGCGTGCACGTACAGTGTGATTGAAACTTCGTGGCCCATGCGCAGAAGTCGGTT